TGGACAACCGTATCTTGAGTGAGAGCGAGAGGGAAAGGAAATCTACCTGCTGACTCTTACTTGACCGTTACCAGTCACGACGGGAAGTCACTGTGATGATGAGACAAACCGAAGTTTAATTATCTCTTTAACAAAATATTATCGGGAACGTGATGTTCGGGATAAGGTATTAAAATACGCCGAAAATGTAACACGTAAAGGAAGAGAAAGAGACCAACTACACCGATTAAATATTTCATTCGTTTAAAGATGATTCAATTTCGCGTAAACCCAGGGTGAAAACCGTCGGAGGAAAAACAGGAAGATGGAAAAGTAGAGAAATAGGATAATGAAGGACATGGACACTTACGATTGGTTGATAAAAATACGCAGGGGTGTCAGAAGGAATGCTCTGTGGTTGAATCCTTGGGCTCTGCAGAGACATCCTCGGGGGTTAGTGTACCGTAGGTTGATAGTTGATCCTCTTGAGTAGACTGGAGACCCGAAGGAATGGCCAATCTCGATGAGTGGTGAAATAATAGACTATTATTTCACCAGGCTGGACCTTCAGAATGTAGACTCTTTGTAATGAAAGGGACCACTACTTTTGTACTGGGAATATGAGTTGAATGACGACTTTTGGAGACTTCTGGCTGGAGCTTCAGGGTATTCATTCTTTCCTTGGAATTTCGAAGTTCGAATTGACCTTTCCGCGTCGCGGCTCCCTTTTTATATTGAATCGACAGTGTGTCATCAGGGGTGGAAGGTTCTAGATGCTTCCCCTATTTTTACCATTGTTTTCTATAGGTATCCGCCTAATTATTGGATTTCTTTGGATATTATTCGGGGATTGGTGGTGACGTTTCTCCTATTCCTTCATGGAGCTCATTGACTGGAGATTAGGTGACATTAGGTCTCCTCATTTTCTGTTTGGACTTGCGTAGTTTTTCCAAATTTTGTGAAGGGAATAGTCAACCATCTGTTTCCCCTAATTGGCGTGGGACACGTGAAGACTATCCTTCGTTCCGATCCTATCCTCTGATAAAAGTCGTACCATGGTCTTTTTTAGGCGTTTTTCCCTTAATTGAGTCATAGTCCGTTGTATGGTTATTGTCCAGCTTAGTCACCCACGAAACCTCTTAAACGGTGAGGATC